TGACCCCGCGGGGCACCTGCCTGGGGCCGCGAGCCTCCGGCAGTTGGGGTTTTGGATGGAGACTTTCGGGCGGAGGGTGGCATTAGCGGGACAAACTCTCCAAGAAGTCAAGGGTGAGGGAACCTTATAAAACAAAGGAGCAAATAATAAGATCACTGTAGTTCTAGTCATTCATCTGAGTTACACATAAAGTTTAATTCCACTGTTTTCACCTGGAATTCCAAATAAGCCCCGAAAGCATTTCCTACTGTTCTCACGATGGTTTTGTGGCTTTGACAGAAAAATGCAATGAATTTTAAATATATTATTTATATTCTTGGGGCTCTCTACATCAATGAGATATTTAAGTGTTTCATTCAATCCTCATAGAAACTCACTGAAGTGAGTGTTATGTCCTTATTTTCACAGATGGGGAAACTGAGGCACAGAAAGATTACTTATCTATGGTCATCTCAGGTAAGTGCAAAAAGTAGAATTTGAACTCTGGCAGTTTGGTTTACAGAATTGACCCTCCCACTGGCAAGGCTGTGACATCTCTGGTACACTGGTACCCTAAAAAGGTTAGTAAATGATAGTAACTCTGTAATGTACTTGTTTTGGTTAATCTGTTTCACAAATCATGCAAGGTTGAATCTGTCTTTTTTCAGGAAGTTGAGAAATAGCTCTCTAATGTGATCACATCCTTCTCTTCTCCCTATCCTTTCCACACAGTCAAAATGCACCAGGAAAGCAAAAGTGGTACAATTCTCAGCAAACAATAGTTGCTTAGTACATGTTGAATGGAACCAAACAGGAAGTTAACAACATCAGTTAAGAATATGAAGTAGAACCCCTGGCCAGTCTGGCTCAGTGGATAGAGCATTGGCCTGTAGACTGAAAGGTCCTGGGTTCCATTCCAGCCAGGGGCACATGCCCAAGTTGTAGGCTCTATCAATGGTTTTCTCTCATCATTCATGTTTCTATCTCTCTCTCCTCCTTTCCCTTCCTCTCTGAAATAAATAAAGAACATGAACTAAATGTTTAAGAATAAGTGATTTATTTGCAAAGGTGGTAATTGCTATTCTCGAACCAATTATATCACTTTTTCCTACATTAGAATTGCTCGGGGTAATTTATAAAATGCAAATAATTTGGTCCTCAGCTCAGACCTCCTGAATCAGAATCTTAAGGGTGGAAACCAAGAACTATTTAGCATTTTAAATTTCACTCTCCAGGAGACTCTCTTGGTCCTTCCTTCCCTTTCCTCCCAAACTCACCACAGCATGGAGACCACTGACTTACTTGGGAAGACCTCCTGGTTACTTGGACTATAAACCACCTTTGCAGGAAGTGGGAATGTGGAGGCCAAGGTGCAATGGATGGGTTTCCACTTATTCAACCCTGTAGGCTTAGGAGAGTTGGAGCTCTTTAAGGAATATAAAGGCTATACTTGAATGGTACCTACCTGGAGAGAAGGAAGGTGTCTCTGGGTCTGGTCTGAATTGCTCCTTCCCATACAGATAGGTGGACCTGGAAGAGTAAGGTTTCCATCTTTCACCTAGGAACCCTCCTGCCATCAGTGACCCTTAACCACCTGCTGCTTGAAGTCTCAGTGTCTGGGCTGGACTAATACAGGGTGTGGTGCTGGAGCCAAAAGGGCAAAGCTAAGAGGTAAGGACAGCTAGAGCAGCAGAAGCTTCCCTTAGGAACAAGGTCTTCTGTTTTCCACCCCCAGGGTTTAAGTAAAAGCCGTCGACATAACCTTCTTTCCCGTTTCACTCATATTTACAGAAACATTTTGAATCAATTAAGAACATTTTGAGGTTGCTACAATCTACTCTTTGTATCTTTTGCTTTTAGTTTCAGGACAGTCGAGTATGCTTATAATATTTTTAGCTAAAGAGGATGACTATGAAATAGGTTGAACCAACACAAATAACATTTTGAAATGCCACCCCAAATTAAAATGCAGTGATTCTGTAACATGCTTACTAACTGAACAGAAGATCTGCATTAATTTCCAAGGAATCATGTCAGAGAACATAAATTAATTGTAGGAACTGATTCATGAATAGTGGTCTTATTAGAGCACATGATTCAGCAATGTTTAGTATATGGTCCTAACTTTTTATATTATCATCTTTCCTTAACCCATAACCAGGCAAAAAAATGTTATAAATGACTGGGAACCACAGAAAGATGAAAACTTGTAGTTTAATGCTTCTAACAGAAAATAATTTCAAAGCATATTGTTCAGAAGTCTTTACTAGGAGGAGATAATTGTAACTATAGGCTGTGCAGTTCTATATTCTTTTTTTTTTTAAATTCTCACCCAAGGATATGCTTATTGATTTTTAGAGAAAGGGGAAGGAGGAGAGAGGGAAACATCTATGTGAGAGAGAACATGGATTGTTTGCCTTCCAACTCCGACTGGCAATCAAACTTTCAACCTTTTGGTATATGGGATGATGGCTCCAGCCAACTGAGCCACACCAGCCAGGGCTGCAGTACTATATTCTTATTGGGATAACTGCATTGTTGGCATGTGGGCTGCTTTATAACCAAACATTTTATTGTTTTCACTAGTACTGTTTTTCTCTCTAAAATCTACGTTCAACGTGTTTTTTAAATAAAATTTACTAACACCACCAGTAGGGCAGATTTATACCTACTAAGTAAATGCAAAAAAGAATCAGTGTATTAATGAAAATATATTATAAAAGATTCATATTAAAACTAAAATGTTTGGGTTTCAGAAATAGAAGTGAAAATATTTTACTCTAAATTAGAAAAACTGTCTTGATTTCAGAGTTCCAAGTAATAATTTTTCATTGTTTACCAGTTGTCAAAATCTGAATATTCTCCCGTATTTCTCATATTATCATTATTTTATTCACCATCCTCATTCCATATTCCCTGTCTGAGTGAATCACACACCACCCGTTCAGTTGCTTTATTGACATACCTAGGAATCATCCTTACATGTTGCTTTAATTGACATTACCAATAGCGACCCACTGCCCAGTTTTCCTGAGGTTGCTCTGCACTGAGCTTTAGTTAGGTATGAGAGCAAGGCCTCTGAACATTTAATGTATACACAAGCTGCCTGGGGTATCTTGTTAAAATGCAGATTTTTGGGGTGCATCTCTCAGGCTGTGGACCAACTTTGAATAGTGAGGTGTTTGAACATTCTGGATTTTAAGACTTTGAAGACAGTGGATAGACATATCTGTTGAAGTGAGACAAATGTTTCAGACTTTAATTTTTAAATTTCTCCCCATGAAATTTGAACTATCAGAATTTCTGAACCCTACAAGAAAGATTTACATTAAAAAAACTATTCTACACGAGTACCCATAACTCTTAACCTTTTAAACCTGTGCTAAGTGGGTATATTCAGCATGTTTGGTCCAAAATTAAATTGGCTTTGGAATGCATTATGTAACTTTTTGGCAGCATAGTTACCTTACTAATTATGTTTTAAGATAATGCTGAAATCAGTTTGCATTCCCTTGAGCACACACACTAAATGATGGGGGGAACAACTGACCTGGAAATACACTCCAGAGCAGAGGACAATCTGCTGGCCTAAAATGCAAACAGTTCCCATGGATAGTTCATAAAACAGATAAACCACAATTAGCTAAACACAGGAACTAACTGGTAAACTAATGACTTAAACTTTTACACTTAATTGAGAACACACAAAATCTGTACCCATAATTGTCCCCAGTGATCACCACCCTGTCCAATTCTAATCAGAAGCTTAGTTTCAAGAAGTAATACCCTTGGAGGCCTAAAGTAGCTCATTCTTCAATTGAGAGCTCGAGTCACAAACTCCACAAATTGCAGAGGTCTTGTCACTAGTTACATTGCCTTAAAATTTTTTATTGATATACTAGAGGCCCAGTGCACAAATCCGTGCACTTTGAAAGGAACTGTGGGCTGTGAGGCTGCGGTGGGCACAGGGGCTGGTCTTGGCCCATCCTTCACGCCCCCACCCGGTCCCTCCCACCACAGCCCCTGGTCCCCTGTCTGCTGGCAGCCCTGCTCCCACCACCGCCATTCCCATGTGCTGACAGTGTGGAGCGATTGGGGCCAGCACCGTCAGTGGGTGTGAGTGGCAGCTGCTGCCCCAATCACCCTTCAGGAGCAGCGGGAGGTAGAGAAGCCCTCAGGGGCAATTGGGGCTGGTGCCAGGCACCAGCAACCGGCTTTGGTGCCAGCAGCAGGTGCGAGTGGGGCCAGCGCTGGCAGCAGGTGCGAGTGCCAGGCAGGACTGCAGCACGCAAGAGCAAAGAATTTTCAGTAACCACCAGAGGTTCGCCCCGATGACAGCAACCGGCACCACATCTTGGTCTGGCACCCCCGCTCACCTGCTCCTCCATCCTACCATGGCCTCTGGCTGCCATGTTTCATGCTCTGCTGCCTGCTGCCGATGCCCATGTTTTGCACGCACGCCCTGGTGGTCAGTGCACATCATAGTGACCGCATTCCCATGTG